AAAAGGAGGGAGGTGTAAACTGGGAATTACAGATCAGTTAGCCCAACATTAGTAGTTCTTTTCATTCATATATAAAAAGCAAGATGGTAGCCAGGGAAAGGATTGGCTGACTCAAGGACAAAGGAGAGAATCTATGTGTGAACCCAAAAGAGGTAGGTGAGATCCTAAATGAAAACTTTGTGTGAGTATTCACCAAAGAGAAGAGATTGGTGGAGGATGATCTCAGGGAAGGGAGTGTCAAGTTTCTAAGCCAAGTTCCTATTAAAAAGGAAGAGGTGTTGTGCATCTTAAAAAGTATTACAGTAGATAAGTCTCAAAGTCATGATGGGATCGAACCCAGAATATTAAGGGAGGCAAGGGAACAAGTTGCTGGAGCATTGACAGACATCTTTGTATCCTCTTCGGCCAGAGGACTGGAGATTAGCTAGTGTTGTCCCATTGTTTAAGAAGGGTAGCAGGGATAATCCAGGCCTATGAGTCTCACATCGGTGGTAGGGAAATTATTGGAAATGATTCTCGGGGACAAGATCTATACGTATATGAAGAAAATGGACTTATTAGCGATAGACAGCATGGTTTTGTCCAGGGGAGGTCGTGCCTCACTAACTTGATCAAGTCTTTTGAAGAAATGACGAAGATGATTGATGAGGGAAAAGTGGTTGATGTTGTCTACGTGAACTTCAGTAAAGCCTTTGACAAGCTTCCTCATTGCAGACTGGTACAAAAGGTGACATCACATAGTATCAAGGGTGAGCTGGCAAGATGGATACAGAACTGAGACAGAGGGTACCAGTGGAAGGATGCTTTTCAAAATGGAGGGCTGTGATGAGCAGTGTTCCATGGGGATCAGCGCTGGGACCTCTCCTGTTCGTGAGCTATATAAATGATTTGGAGGAAAATGTGTTGGTCTAATTAGTAAGTTTGCAGACGATACAAAGATTGCTGGAGTTGCGGATTTTGAGGAGGATTGTCAGAGGATACAGCAGGATGTAGATCAGTTGGAGGCATGAGCAGAAAAATGGCAGATGGAGTTTAATCCAGACAAATGTGAGGTGATGTATTTTGGAAGGTCAAGAAGGTCAAGTTTTCAGATGGAAATTATACAGTGAAAGGCAGAACCCTTATGATAAGCAGAGGGATCTGGGTATGCAGGTTCACAGATTGCTGAAGGTGAAAGAGCAGGTAGATAAGGTAGTAAAAAAACGCTTACGGCATGCCTTCATTGGAAGGGGCCTTGAGTATAAGGATAGACAAGTTATGCTGCAGCTTTATAGATCTTTAGTTAGGCTACACTTGGAAAATTACATGCAGTTCTGGTCGCCACACTACCAGAAGAATGTGGATGCTTAGGAAAAGGTACAGAAAAGGGTTACCAGGATACTGCCTGGTACAGGGGATTTTAGCTAAGAAGAAAGGTTGGATAGACTGGATTTGTTTTCATTGGAACACAGGAGGTTGAGGGGCGTCCTTATAGAAGTTCATAAGGTTGTGAATGGCATGGATAGAGTGGAAAGAATGAAGCTTTTTCCCAGGGTGGAGGGGTCAATTACTAGGGGACACAAGTTCAAGGTGCGAGGGGATTGTTTAAAAGAGATGTGTGAGGCAAGTTTTTCACACAAAGCGAGTACCTGGAATGTGCTGCCAGAGGAGGTGGAGGAAGCAGACACAATAGCAGCATTCAAGAAACACCAGGACAAATGCATGAATAAGAAGGGAACAGAGGGATACAGATCTTGTAAGTGAAGATATTTTTAGTATGGAAGGACAAAATCTGGCAGTGCAGGCTTGGAGGGCCGAAAGGCCTGTTACTGTGCGGTATTGTTCTTTGTTTTTTGTTCTAGTTGAGAAAATGCTGGAGTCATTTATAAAGGATGTCATAACAGGATTCCTAGGCAATAGGAAATCATGTAAGACAAGGCAACTGGAACTATTTGAGGATGTAACTAGTAGATGAGAGAGAACAAGTAGATATGGTGTATCCGGATTTTCAGGAAGTTTTTAGTAAAGTCCAATGTAAGGAAATAGTGTGCAAAATCAAAGCAAATGGGATTAATAGTAATATACTATCATGTACTGAGAATTCTTTATCCAATAGGAAAAAAACAATAAATTAGTCTTATATTAAGAGTGTAAGGTAATGACAAGATGGGCACTGTAGGGATCATTGCTTGGGCCCAGTTATTCACAATACGTATCGATGATTTGGATGTTGGAACTAAGTGTAATATTTTCAAGTGTGCTACCATCAAAAAAAAACCAGGTGGGATTGTGAGTGATGAGTATGAATGGAGGCTTCAGGCGAAATAGACAAGTTGAGAGTATGCAAATAATAGCAGATTCAATATGACTTGGATAAGTGTGAATTTGTGCATTTCAGTAGGAAAAACAGGATGGCAGAGTACCATTTAAATGGTAATAGTTTCAGAAATGTTGATGTATGAAGGGACCTGTGTATCCTTATATGCCGGTCACTGGAAGCAAGCAGTTCTGAAGGCAAACGGTATGTTGGCTTCATTGCAAGAGGATTTCAGTACAGGAGAAAGGAAGCATACTACAATGATATGGGGCATTGCTGAGTGCACATCTGGAGTACTGTGTACAGTTTTGGTTTCCTTACCAAAGAAAATATATATTTGCCAGGGAGCAAGTGCAGCAAAGGCACTTCAAACTGATTCCTGGTGTAGCAGGTTTGTTGCTTGTTGAGAGGTTGTACACGGCCTGTATTCACTGGAGTTTAGAAGATTCAGAGACAATCTCATTGAAAGTTTTAGAAGTCTGACAGGGCTGGACAGACTGGATGATGTTTCACTTGAACACACCAAGGGGTCATGGTCTCAGGATACAGGATAGACCATTTCAGACTGAGAGAAGGAGAAATTTCCTCACTCAGAGTGGTGAACAAGGGGAATTTCCCAGTAAGAAAGGCCACATAAGCCAAGTCACTGAATGTCTTTAAGAAAGAAATAGGTAGATTGCTGGAAGCTAACGTGTCAAAACGTATGAGGAAAGTGTGGGAGAATAGCATTGTGATGCAGGATCAGCCATGATCATGTTGAATTGCCCAGTGGACTCATTGAGCTGAATGTATAGTCCTCCTATTTTCTCTGTTCTTTTTTTCTACATTTCTATTTTTTGTTCCTTCACTTACTCTCTGGACTTTCTACATTCATCCTGGTTTTCAGCTGTGTTGGCCAAGTGGCATCTGTCATCTGCACCCTTTTTAGCTTCATTTTACTCTCTCCCTCTTCCAGGTACCTCTAGATTTGTTTGCCCTATTTATGCCCAATATGGGAATATACACCAAACTATCTTCTCTATAAAGGCAATTCATTGTTCTGTTTCAGTTTTCTATGCTGATCTTTTGTTCCAATTTATTACAATAGATGTTGGCCCTCCCCCCAATTAATTATTTTCAATTTGGATTCTCCTTGCTCTTCTGCATAGTTAACATAAACCTTATGATACTATGATCACTGTCCCCTAAACGCTCTTCTCCTCGCACTTGATCCATTGACTCGCCTCATTACTCCGAACCAAACCCAGTAATGTTTCCATCCTCCTTGAACCCAAAACAGAATAATATAAAAGATTCCACTGAATGTATTTTATAAACTCTTGTCCCCCTCTGTTTATCTCATTATTACTATCCCATTTTATTATTAGCCACAGTCTATGTTAGAATAAATAACATCACAGATTATAACAACTCTACAATTCTCGCACATCTCTGTTCATTTCTTACAAATTTATTCCTGCATACCTTTTCCACCAATTGGTGGCCAACAGAGTACAAACAGTAATGTAATCCAACCTCAGTTATTTATTGGATGAAATCAATTAAGTCTGGTCTTTAACCCATCTAGACATCTTCTCTCTTCAGCACTATGGCAGTATCCTCGATTTGCTGTGCCAGGTGTCCAGCAGCTGGGAGAGAGGTGGCAGGTCCCTGGGGCAGGAATGTAGGGCTGGGGACCAGTTGGAATAAGGAGTTTTGGGTATGGTGGGCGGAGAATTGTCGGGTCCGGGGCCATCATACCAGCAAGATGGAGGATCAGTTGGTGGTGCTGCTCAGTGGTGGGTTGGAGCCTGTTTAACAGTTACCCAGGATTTATGAGAGGTTCTTAATCCTCTAACCTTTCCTGTGTTACTATTAAGCTTAAGTGAGTTGGAACCTTCCAAATTACCCCACTCTCTTGGACAACAGATTCTGTTGGAAAGTTCCTGACCCAAGGAATTGCTCATGGGAAATTTTATTATCTTAGGCAAATCCCACATGGACGTCTACTCCAATGACTCTGGCCATCAGAATATCTTGACCCATGTTTTTCAGTTGGCAGTCTGTGCAGCTCAGTAATCTTATTTACTATTCCACATTCACATACGTGCATATTAAATCTAAATTAGACCTTCTGAAAGTTCTGAAGAAGAGTCATATGGGACTCGAAACGTTAACTCTGTTTCCCTCTCTGCAGATGCTGTCAGACCTGCTGAGTTTCTCCAGTATTTTCTGTGTTTGTTTCAGATTTCCAGCATCTGCAGTATTTTGCTTTTACTAAATTAGACCTCTGTATTCACTCTTATTCTGAACCCTCCTAATAAGCGATTCTTTCCTACTTGAGTGTTGTCTCCCAGTTTTTCATCTCTGATTTTATAACCTGCATCATTTGATTAAAACTTCCCCAAGAGTTAGATGAAGAAGGGCGGAGGAGGGTTATGTGGCACCAAAATCCCAGAATTGATCAGTAGGGCCGAATGACTTATTTTTCTTTTAATGATATGTAATTCCATTTTGCCACTATTATGTTTGATGTAATTTTCTGGGTATTACTTAATTCTGTATTAGTATTAAAATCATGAGTAATTTTGTTTGAATCATCCTACATTAAATTAAATCATTTAATGCTACTTTAAGATTCGTTTAACCACCTGTTTATTTGTGTATAATTTATTTCTAATTAAGAAAAATCAAGAGTTCCAAGTTTCAATTCTTTACATTCTAGGCTTTGAAAGAAAGCTTTATAAAGGCAATAGGCGTTGGAGTAGGATTTAATCTGCAGAGAATTGAATTCCATACATCGCCATTACATATGCAAACAGGGCCAGTATCTAAGGAAACAATAATGTTTTTGGATGGAGACCAGGAAGAAGCATGGACATTTGAGGTGAGATTACTTACTAAAGATCAACCAAAGCAATTTGACTTTTACCGATGGTCATCTTATTGCAATTCCCGCTGATTCCAACTATTTGCTTCAGAGTGTGGAGGAAGGATGTTCTTGAGAATGTCCCCTATTTGGGACATTAAGGCAGCCAATTTGTGCACAGTGAGGTCGCCCAAACAGATAATTTGTGTTAATGATAATGATAATAGGGAGAGATAAATGGTGGCCAGAACCCACAGGAACTTGAAGACTTTTCTTTGAAGAGTGGCAAGTATCTTTTGCATCTGCCTGAGAGTGTTAACATCTCATTTGAAAGAGAGCACTGACAGTGCAGCAGTCTGACTACACTGCATTGCTTAGTACTCAAGCACCTGCAGTGGGAATGGAACGCAAAACCTGAGTCAGAAACTGGAGCGGTACCGCTCAGCCACAGTTGACAGTCATGTGGAAGTTAGTTAAATATAATGTAGGGAAAAGTTCTGTACAGTGTTTTCATTATGCATTGATGTTAGGACACCAGCTGTTTTGCAGGAAAAACATTACCATGCAGAAAATATTGTTTATATTCACTAGTAATAAACTGCAACAATTTAGATTAATGTATCATACATCTTCCTGTGTTGGTATTTCCAATTTCGTGCCTATTTTAGTCATCAGTTATTGGCACCCTGACATCATCCTTGGGTAACAAATGCTCTGTGTCATCCGAAATGTTTGTCGGAGACTAAATAACTGATATTTTTGTATATAAGTCTAAGTTCTCAAGATGAAGATATGTATTCCTTCGTTATACAGTAGATTTGATTGCATATCACAATATTAAATGGTTGTTTTTCTAAGCCACTGGGCCAAATCCTCACCAAAAGCTGTGCATGTTCCATCTATTCAAATTGTTTCTTTAAAATTCGTTCGTCATTAAAAATTATATCATTCTTTGAAACTCAAAATTCATATTTATAAATTTTAGGTAACTATGCAGATTGACTATTTTGAGCAAATTAAAATAGGTTGAGAAATTGTCTACAGCATTACTTATTTCTGTATTCTTAAATTTAATTACAGGAAATATGAAACATAATTTTTTAAATTAATGCGGATTCAGTTTTCATTGGCATAAAGAATTGATTTTTACAGAAACTTAGAATGTTCACTGCAAATCCAATTAATTGATGCTATACTTTGTGCAGTAAACCTTTGATTTCTTGAAGGTCAATGTTTTATTTGTGAACTTTAGTGTTTTTAAAGCTTTTTCCGTGTTAACTCAAAGTGTGTTCAATGAAAATTGCACTATTTTCAAAGACTAGTCAAAAGTATTAATCAACATTAGCATCAGTAAACAATTGCAAATTGCTTTCAAAATGCATCTCAAGGGTATCAATTGTATTGAGTTACAATTGAGTGGTATTCTAGGTTACAGATCGCTTAATATTAGTTACTGAAACAGTAGTTCGTGTGCAGTATACCAAGAATCCATGTTTTAAAAAATTTACTTTGAATCTGTGCATGGATGCATGATTCGGTGATCAAATATAACTGCAGTGATAACATCTTTGAGAAAGTCGGTCACCATGTTTACAGAGGTAAACAAAGCTCATCATCTGTTTATTTGATGCTGTAAAAGCCTGTTGTTTCTGTTATTTCCCCAGTAGAGGTCTGCTGCATGTTTATTTCCATGATGGATGTGAGCTTTTTATTTGCTTTCCTTGATGGGAACCTTCTGTTGATTTAATTCTGTTGATATGTAACCTTTAGATTCATTATCCCATTTTTAAACAATTTATCACATTTATCCTAATTTCATTCATTTTCCCACACCATTACTAAATTTCGTTTTTTAGTGCAGAATCTCCCTCTTTACAATTCTGTTATGATTTGAGTCAGTTATAGATATTTTCTTATATTCAGGCACTCCTCTAAATATTTCTCTTTTATGGAAACTCGCAAATCAGGATAAATCTACATGATTTGTAGCATAACCTGGGAATGTAACAGTAAAATTCCCTGTACATCTGTGTTTGTTTCCCTGTACATCTAGTCAGATATTAATTTAAAACAAAGAACTGTGGATGCTGGAGTTCTAAAATGGAAACAGAAAGCACTGGAGAAACTTAGCAGGTCTGGCAGCATCTGTGGGGAGAAAAACAGAGTTAACGGTTCAAGTCCAGTGACCCTTCATCAGAACTACTGATGAACTACTTCTTATGAAGCATCACTGGACTCGAAGCATTAACACGGTTTTCCTCTCCACAGATGCAGCCAGATTTGCTGAGTTTCTCCGGTGCTTTCTGTTTTGGTCAGACGTTAATGTCTTTTTACACATATATTTTTGTTTACCCCAAAACAGACAGCATTAACATTGTACAAGGCAAAGTTTACATCAAATTTTTAGTTGCCTTCTTTAGTAGTGAAGTATAATCAGAGTTGCTTTGTTCAATCGCCATTTAATATAACAAAGGATGTAGCCCTGAAAACAGCTGCTTTGTGCTGAAGATATACTCTAGAACTAGCCACACATCTAACCAAGAGGTCTGGTACAAGTGCAGTACTGGCAATTACCTAACAATGTGGAAAATTGCTTGGGCGCAAAGACCTGTCCACAAATTGCAGGACAAATCTATTCAAATAAATTATCATTCATCAGGTTACCATCCATCATCTGCAAAGTGATGGCAGGTATTAATAACAGTTTTTTTATAAAAATGCTTAATTTCTTAGTTCATCTATTTTGGGCTATATATCTTTTAGTGTGATTGAACTTTTAAGTGTAAGAAAATGTGAACACCTAGTTTGAGAAGCTGGTACATCGACCCATGTTCATTTTGAAGTGGTCAAAGGTGGAAGTGTGAAAACATTTAACAGTAGGTGGCCCTTTTCTGAGTTTCTTGATGGAGACAAGATGTCTATAATTGTATCTTATAAGTGTTTTAAATTATTTAGTATGCATCCCAGATCAAAGAAAGGTTTGAAAGCAATGGGAAAACAAAGGAAGGTCTTGAAGGACCCACATCCTTTACAGATCATAGGTCAGATAAAGTTAGAGGTAATTGGACTAAATCTCTACGAAATTTGTTTGCAAGACAACTTTCTTTTGTTAAGGGTTTATCTTTTTGTTTTCTCAAAGAAACATCTAATTAGCTCAGGATTAGCTTTAAAACAGACAATTTATATCTGGAACTGGGTCAACTTGAAAACAGGCAACAACTGAAAATTTGCCAGAAGCTGTGAAGAAATTGTAAGCCAGAAGCAAAGGCCAATAAAAATGGAGTTCTGAGTTAGGGTTATTCGGAAAGAGTGCAGTGATGCCTACAGCTATGGTGCCTACACTGACAAGATGCTGAAGAGAAATGAAGGGTTACTTAGCTACATGCTAGTGGAAGGACCTAAGTAATTTTAGAACTCGGAGAATCAAAGTGAATTCCTGGAAGCTGTGGCACAACTTGGTTTAGTCCCGGAGTGAGAAGAGTGTCCTTGAAAAACTCTGGGAAAAGTACCCTTGCATTTGGTTTCCAGTGAAGCAGTCTAGTAGTGATGTCCTTACAGTTGGCGTTCTGATGAACTGGTCTGGGAAAGATGTCTTTGCAGTTGGTGTCCCGATTAAAGAAAGGTGGCATTGCATAAAAATCGGAGTAGAATTACCCTACGGCAGGAGTTGAGGCTCCAAAGGAGAGAGATGATCAGAAAGTAGTTGGTAAAGTCAGGTAAATATTTATATCTTTTACTGCAAGTAGTTTGCAAGAGTTTTTTTTTGGTTTATTGATCTAAGGGCTGTATTCTGTAGTAACAAGGAAATGAAAAAAGAGCTCTAGAGAACTTGATAATATTTGATATTAAGCATCTTTTAAAGGGTTTAATTTAAAGTAGTAAGTCATGGTAGGAGAGCTGAAAGCCATGCTGTGTTCTTCCCACTCAATGTGAGAAGCCAGGCACATTTTCGGTGCCGGGGACAAGCATGTGTGCAGGAAGTACTACCAGCTATAGCTCCTGGAAGCCTGGGTTTCAGAGCTGGAGTGGTAGTTGGAGACACAGTGGAGCATACGTGAAGCTGAGAGAATCATGGATAGCACATACAGGGAAGTGGTCACACCACAGGCTAAGACTCCACAGGCAGAAAAGGAATGGGTGATCCCCAGGCAGAGAGAGGATTGGACAGGCAATTCAAGAATCCCCTTGGACCAATCCCCTGAAAAACAAGATAGACTGCTTTGAATACTGTTGAAGTGAATGTCCTCTCGGGGGGAAAAAAGCAACAGCCAAATTTATGGCACTGTGGTTTGATGTGTAGTCGTAGGGGATTCAATTGTAAAGGAAATAGGTAGGCGCTTCTGTGGCCACAATCCAGGATGGTATGTTGCCTCCCCAGTGCAAGGGTCAAGGATGTCTCAGAGCAGTTACACGATATTCTGGAAGGGGAAGGTGAACAGTAAGTAGTCATGATACACATTGGTACCAACAACATAGTTTAAAAAAAAGATGAAGTCCTAAAAGTAGAATATAGGGAGTTAGGAAGCAAGCTGAAAAGCAGGACTTCATAGGTAGTGATCTCAGGATTACTACCAGGGCCATTTGCTAGTCAAAGTAGAAATAGCAGGATAAATCAGATGAACATTGGCTAAAAAGGTGATATGAGGAGATTTTCAGATTTGGATGAGTTCTGGGCTAGGTAGGACGAGTACAAACAGTCCAATTTGTTAGCTTGGTAGGGGAGCACTGAGACTAAATTGGCAGGACCATAGGAACCTATACAAGGAGTCAGAGGTAGGGGGAATTAATGTTAAGAACAAAAGACAGTAAAGGGAGTAAGAGAAGTGATGGGCAGAAGAATAAAAGGCCATTGTAAAAAAGTCGTGGGAATGGGGGAAGTAACATTAAAAATATTTACCTTAAGACTTTCTGTCTGAATGCACAGAGTGTTCGAAATAAAGTGGATGAATTAATAATACACATAGATGTAAATGGGTATCGTATAGTTGGGATTACGGAGAAATGGCTACAGGGTGACC